CTGTCGCCCAGGCTGGAGTGCAGTGGCACAGTCAGAGCTCATTGCAGCCTCAACCTCCTGGGCTCAAGTGACCCATTCCTGCTGGGTCTACAGGTGTGCACCACCACGCCCAGCTGATTTTTTTTTTTTTTCTTTTTTTCTCTTTTGAGCTGGAGTCTCTGTCACTCAGCAGTCCGTGGAAGTTGCTGCCTTTGTCATTCCCACTTCGCAGATGAGCCTGTGGACGCTCGAGGAGGCGTTGAGTCTCACCCAGTCAAAGGTCAGGGCTTGCCCTTGGCCCTTGAGTCATGCAGAGTAGAGGTGGATTTTTTTTTTTTTTTGAGTCAGAGTCTCACTCTGTCACCCAGGCTGGAGTGTAGTGGCCCGATCACAGCCACCGCAGCCTCGACCTGCTGGGCTCCGGCGATCCTTCCGCCTCAGCCTTCCGAGTAGCTGGAACTACAGGCACACACCACCACACCTGGCTAGTTTTTGGATTTATTGTAGAGACGAGGTCTCGCCAAGTTGCCCAGGCTGGTCTCGAATCCCTGGGCTCAGGCAATCCTCTCGCCTCGGCCTCCCAAGGTGCTGGAATTACAGGATTGAGCCACCGGGCCTGGCGTTTTTCTTTTTTATGGAGAGAAGTTCTCACTAGGTTGCCCAAGCTAGTCTCAAACTCCGATCCCCTCACCTCAGCCTCCCAAAGTGCTGAGATTGTAGGCACGAGCCATTGCATCCTGCTGCATTTTATGTTTTTTTGTTTTTTGAGTTGGAGTCTCATCCTGTTGCCCAGCCTGGAGTGCAGTGGCATGCTCACCGCCACTCCAGCGTCAACCTGCTGGGCTCTGGCAATCCTCCCGCTCAGCCTTCCAAGTAGTCGGAACCACAGGCACGCACTACCACGCCTGGCTAATTTTTTATTTATTGTAGAGACAAGGTCTCGCCAAGTTGCCTGGGCGGGCCTCGAACCCACAAGCTCTGGCAATCCACTTGCCTCGGCCTCCCAAAGTGCTGGGATGACAGGCTGAGCCACCGAGCCCAGCCCAGGCCGAAGAGACTGTTAACCCAGTTATCTCTGGGGGAAGGAGACAGGCCGGCAGCCATAGGCGTCTTCGAACAAGTGCGGGTCCCCTACGATTTTAGGCCCTGTTTATTTATGGTCTCAATTTCTCAAAATAACAACCGCGATGATAGTACATCTCTTCCTGAGCACCTGTGAGGTCTTGTTGGAGGGAGGAGGCCCTGGAAGGTGGGTTTCCTTCTTCCTCAGCCCCTGCCTCCTGGGGGCCAGGCCTGAGTTCCAGGGAGGGGGCGGGAAGGACAGGGGAGGCTTTTGTCGCAATTATTCACGCATCCCCGAGGGCCCTCCCCCTCCTGGACTAAGCCAGGGGCCCTCGAAGGGGCTTGGATTTCAGGCCAAATGCTCCGCCCTGCCCCTCCCTCAGATGTACTCCCTCCATCTGGGAGACCCATCTGTTCCCTCCCCCCTCACTGCCCCCAGAGTCTCAGGGCCCCTCCTGCATCCTGGCGACCCCGCTGCCCGGCCCAGGGAGACCTGGAACCGGACTGCCTGTGGTCAAGTGGAAACACTGAGGCCGGGGGTCCCCAGGGAGTCCAGATGGGCACCGCCGGCCCCTTTCCAGCCTCACCCACCTCGTGGCCCCAGAAGCTATCGCTTGAGGGCAAAACACTCGACTTCTTTTTTTTTGAGTTGCAGTCTCACTCTGTCGCCCAGACTGGAGTGCAGTGGCCGCTCCCAGCCACTGCAGCCTCGACCTGCCGGGTTCCGGGGATCCTTCCGCCTCAGCCTTCCAAGTAGCCGGAACTACAGGCACACCACGCCCGGCTAACTTTTGATTTATTGTAGAGATGAGGTCTCGTCAAGTTGCCCAGGTGGGTCTTGA